CTTTATGTCCTCACTAAGTTCCTTAAACATTTTTATCATCAGTGTTCTAAACTCTGTCTCTGAAAGGTTGGATACCTCAGTTTCATTTAGTTCCATTTCTAGAGGTTTTTTCTGATCTTTTACTTGGGACTGTTTCTTTGTTTCTTCATTCTGGCTGTCGCTCTGTGATTGCTTCAATGTATTAGATAGATAAGGTATGTCTCTCAGTCGTTGCTGGGTGCTCTTGTAGTATGTGTCCTTTATGTTTGGATTGCACAGTGTCTGTATTCTTCTGTCTCTTGTGTTCCAGAGGTGTCGCTGTTGAAGTTGCTCTTTAATTGCTTTTGGCTTGTCAGAGGGTGGGATTGACCCTCAGACTGATTAACTGGGAGAATTAGATCTATTCACAGTGTATGAGATGCTGTGAGGAGGTTGATCCCTTCCGAGGAGGTTTGGCCACTGGGTTCTTGTGCCTGTGGAAAATGTCCATTGAGAGTACCACTTGTAGATTCAACCAGGTAGTACTCTAGTTTTGTATAACACTGGCCTCTGGTTGTATTGGTTCTGGTGTCTCTTGGGCGGGGCTCCCACTGAGCTGTTTCAGACCTGCCTGTTAGGTGCCTCAAGGCTGTACACAGTTGGCTGCTGCCTGTGCTGAACCTGGGGTCATGTGGGGATGGTCTCTGTGTGAACTGAAGCTGGGTGCCCCCTTTATTGGTCCTGAGACAGTTTAGGAAAAGACCCAGGGCCCCCTAAGCCTGTTGGCACCTGTCAGATGCCGGTAAGGCCCACCTATTGAAAGAGGCTCTTTAGGGGTGTTTGCCTGGCTATTTGACCCGGTGTTCAGGGTGCCTCTGTGATGTGGCACTAGCATGGCAGGATGGAGTTCAAGTGAGTTATGCGACGTGATTGGTAGTTTTTAAGACATTAATGCAGATTCAGGGCTTACACCAATACCTGGCCTGTGACCCCCCCCCTTGTATAGCATCCCAGGGTCACTACAGCCAGCCTCCACCTCGCTCTCACAGATTCACGAAACCTGCTCTCAAGTGGCTGTGGTGCAGGTTTGTAGTCACTGAACACCATGATGATGACCCCAGGGCACTGCAAACCACCTTCTGTTGTAAAAAACCTTTTCCACAGTTTGTGGAGTGGGGCCAGTCACCCCAGCATCCACGTTGCCCCTGGCAATGCAGCTACAGTTGGGCGAGGTTGTATTACAGGTGCGTAAAGGCTGTGGTCAGTAGTTTGTACAGATTCAGTGTCGTCTCAGCTCCTGGACCAGTGCTAGGGCCACATCCACTTCATAAAACAAAAACAAAGCAAGGCAACCCAACAACACCAAAAAACAAATACACTCCCACAGAAACTCGATAAGCAGTGATCAGACAGGAGAAACAAAAGTATATAAAAGAGACACAAACACGAAAACAGGAGAACAAGACAGAAAAACAGTGACCAACGCAATATCCAGATAAACAAGTCAGAAAAACGATAAAAACAAAACAGATGAGAGAAAGATGGAAAAGGAACAAAAAGATGAAAGAGAAAGAAAAGAAAAATAATAGTAAAGAAAAGAAGGAAAAAAAAAAGGCTCTCTGCCCGCTTTAATCTGCAGACCACTTGCACAGCAATAGGAACTCTCGGGGCCGGCCGAGTGGCTCAGTTGGTTAAAGAGCTCACGCAAGAGTGCAAGCTCTGAGCAACAACAGCGGTTCGATGCCTGGCCCGAGCTGAGTTGCCGCCAAGCTGCCAACAGGTGGCAGGATGGCTCAGCTAAAAAAAAAAAAAAAAAGCAATAGGAACTCTCTGGGCAACTCAGCACCAGCTATGTTGGGGGGAATAGCTCAGCGTGTCATGCGCCGGCCTCCCTCTCAGGCTTGCAGCGAGCTTCCTGCAGTTGGCTGCTGTGTGTGCTCTGGAGCCCTGGTCACCACCAAAAATCCTCATGGATTGTTGTGGGCTGTCTCCTGCTGCTGCAAAAAACCCTCTGTGGTCTGGGGAGGTGGGTGCCAGGCACCAGGGTGCCCCCAGCAACACAGCTCTAGGTGGACGGGGGCGGCCCCCAAGGCACCATGGGGTGTGGTCAGTGGCCCACACCATGTCAGAGCAGCATGCACTCCTGCACCAGTAACCTGCCCGCACAAATGCGCCAGGAAAGTCCCAGCCACATCACTCAGGCCCACAGCTCCCAGCTCAACACTCCCAGGAAAACCCTCAGTCTCAGCCTGTCCCAATCAGCTGCTCGCAGATCAGGCTGAGCAGCCCGACAACCAATCGCCAGCCTGGCAACTCGGCTCGCGCAGTGTGGAGAGCAGAGACCCAAGGCAGCTCGCGCACTCCTGTGTCTCAGTGAACAGCCTGTTGGATCCAGAATGCGCCTGCCAGGTGTTTCCCTGGCTACACAGCACAAGCAGTGCCAGAGGGTGGGGATCCAAGGCCGCATGCGTGCACACGCACACACACACACACACTCCTGCGCCAATTCCACCAGACCAATGCGGTCCCAGACCTGACCCTTTGGGAGGGCCCAACCCTGAAAAAATGTTGCTCTCCTGTACACTACTCGTGTGCAAGCTGCACACCAGGGGAACAATGGTCCCAAAACCTCCAGCTCCCACACCAGAGGCACTCAGTTCAGTATTTCCCTGCAGGCTCCTGGGACCCGCTCACACAGCTACTCCTCCACTGGGGACTGGGTGAGTGCACACCAGCGAGCGAGTCCATGTGCTGGCTCCACTGGTTCTCTAGCTGCCCTCAGCCTCACCGAGTTGAGCAAAGAGAGTCCTCACTAATTTCTGCTGCCAGCTATCATGGAACTCCTGTTCCTAACAAAGTAACTCTGGGCTGGTGAGCTCGGTGTGAGGCCGGAGGGTCTCTCCCCGAACTGGAGAAGCCTTTTCACCGCTGAGGTGACCCTCACGGGGTTCGCCCTCTCTTGTCTTTGCCTCCTCTCCTCTCTGGCCCTCCTACCAGACTCGATGTGGCCACCTCTTTAAGTCCTTTGTTTAGAGGTTCTGTTCATCTAGTGCTCAGGGGACTTCCAAGGTTGAATGTTGTATAAATTATTTGTAATTTTGTGTGATCCTGGGAGGCAGTTGGTACAGTGTCTCTCTATTCTGCCATCTTACCGTAAGCCTGGATAGATGTATTTTAATAGAGGCCATTTTTTAAAACCCTGTTTGAAATTTAACTTTGGTGAAAGAGCTCTCATTATTTTTCACTCTGCAGCAAAGATATATCCAGAAGAAATCACTCCACTCCTGCCAGCCATATCAGGGGAAAAGATTCCTGAGGACCATACATGCTTTTTTCTTCAAATACTGTTGAAATATATGGTTATTCAGGTAAGAGTAAATTGTAGATAATTCAGTGATGATCTTATTCTCAGTAGGAAAGAGAAAACATTGCCTCTTTTCTTCCTGTTCACATTTTGCATTTTTGCTTTTTTTTTAAAGTTGATTTTATGTAATATTTCACTAAATATAGAATATGCCCCAGGTCACTTCAGCAAAGATCAGGCATACAGACTATTTTGTGTGAGTGTGTTTGTAAAGGGAAAAATTCATTTCTCCATCTGTGTGTCTTCTTTACTTTCATATTATTGCCACATTCACACAGAATGTGTGACACTTCTGGTCACCAAATGTATGGGTTTTTGTTTTCCTCCAACAAGCAATTCTCTTCCACAAAAACTGGGTGTCCTACAATTTTATCTCAATTCTGATACTATCTACCTGGAGAAAGCATCAGATCCCACATATTAACATCTCTGTCCCGTAAGACTGTTCCCATCCCATTCAGATGCCAATTGCAAGTAGTAGGTCTCCAGGTTACCCCCGACTTATGTTCAATTTGACTACAAATCAGAGGTTCCCACACCTCCTCCTCATAGTCAGTTAATTTGCTAGAGTGGCTCACAGAACTCAGGGAAGAATTTACTTATGTTTATCAGTTTATTAAAAAATGTAATAAATGATACAGATGAGCCGCCAGATGAAGAGGTACGTAGGGTGAGGTCTGGCAGAGTCCTGAGCACCGGAGCTTTTGTCCCCACGGAGCTGGAACCTGTCACCCTCCCAGTACATGGATGTGTTCACCCACCTGGAAACTCCTTGAAACCCCTTTTATTGGCATTTTATGGAGACTTCCTCCCACAGGCATGATCAATTATTAATTCCATTTCCAGCTCCTTTCCCCTCTGTAGAGAAATGAGGTGGGGTGAGGGCTGAAAATTCTAAGCTTCTAATCATGTCTTTGTCTTTATGGTGACGAGCCCCGATCCACGAGCCATCCAGTCGCCCACCAACAGTCATCTCATTAGAACAAAATATGCTCTTAGTGCTCTTATCACTTAGGAAGTTATAAGGGTTTCAGGAGCTCTGTGCCAGGAACTGGGGGCAGAGGCCAATATGCAGAAGGTGCCAAAAAAATGTATACACGTTTTAAGAAAGGAAAACTAATTTAAAATTGTAATACTCAATATATACCGATAACAAAAGATGAATACAAATCATGTTTGACTTCTGCAATTACAAGAGGTGTTCAAAGTGGTTACCATCAGCATCCAGACACTTTTGATTACGGTTAACTACTGCTTGAGCAACGTTGACCAAAGTGTTCATTGTATACATTTTTTTCGGCATCCCCGGTATATAGTTTTTATTATCTCACAGTGTATTGTATTAAACTAGTTTTGCCTCTTTACTCCTTACCTAACCCTGATCTCTATGGTAACGAAACAGGATGGAGGAGGAGGCAGGCCTAGAAGCTGAATGGGTGGAACAGGAATGGGCAGAGCAGGCAGGGAGATTTGAACGAAAGCATGTATAATTATCTCATCATGCCATCAGCACAGGCCTGCTTTATGTCATATATTCCTTTCTCTTATAGTTACCAAGTGAATATAGAACTAAAATCATTAGTTTATGATTTCAGTAGGTGACGTGTCTCTTGGTCTATGTTTCTGAGCATTGATATTGTTCAAAACTACTGAGTGCTTTTCTCGCAGCAAACACTTCTTTTATCCCTGAGCTCCTCCTAGGTAGGTACTCGTATAGTCCAGTCTCTGTCCTATCCTTCACAATCAAGTTTGTTGGTGTGATAGTCTCTGCCAGGTCTACTTCCTCACCTAATGTTCCCTGACACTCTCTGTTACCTGCTTCTGCCCTGTCACTGCTAAGACTGAGGTTCGAGGCCATGAAGGGTTCTCATGATAAGTCCAGAGGAAGGGCACTTCAGTTTGTGCCATATTTAGTCTTTTGGGTGATTTAACAGTGTCTGCCCCTTCTTCATGATATTCCTCCCATGATATTTTCTTCTGGCTTTTTTTCTCCCATTCTTTTACTTCTATCCAGTTTTCTTTGGGGAATTGTATTTCTCTCTGCCATCCCTCAAGATTCAGTCTTTGGCTGCACTTTGTGACTACTGTGTCCTGCTGAGCGATCTTGTCTGCTCTCCTCTCCCGTTTCCTTTTGCCAACAACAGAAACACAAGGATTCCAGAATCCTGAGAGCCCAACTGGGGTATTCTGTCCTCTTCTGGAAGCTCTACCTTTTAGCTCTACTGGCCCATTCTACATGTATCTCAAACTCTATCTGATCGGAAGTGGCAGGGCATTCCGTATGTCCCAGATCAGCATTGAGTATCTTGAACTTGAATGTGTTGGGAGACTTAGGTTTTCATTCTAGATGTGTCACTGATGAGCTGTGTGACCTCAGATAAGTTGTGCAATCCCCAGGATTCCATTAGAGGAAGGATGCAATTGATGTGGGGGTAGGTTTTCATGCAGACTATGAGCCCCTAAATTGTGTGCAGAATTGTATGTGCATGTTTATCCCCCGTTCTTCCTTCTGTATACTGGGGTGAATCCACAGAGCAGAGCTTCTCCCTTGGCTCACCCCAGAGAACTTCTGGCAGGTTACGATGCTGAGCCTCTCTGCCCCTGGGCATCCAAAGCCCCTCGTCTCAGGTGCTGCACAGATATTATCATTTTCCAAGTGTGCTCATGAAGGGATTTGGGAAGCTTGGCTTTAGAGCGCTCTGTGGTCTAACAAGCATTAAGAACCACTGACAGGTATAGCTGGACTGGCAGGCCTGGTTTATCCTAGCCTGTGGATTTCTTTTAATAAGGAGAACGTGTTTTCCAAAAATCTGTAGCTTTGCCTTTTGATAGTGATTTTGCATGTCGGTAACATGGGATGAAATCTTTGGAAGGGATTGTTTCCTTAATTCCTGTTTATTATAAATGGCCTTTTTAAAGTTTTTTAAAAAGCACCTGATTATATCTGACGAGATGTTTTAAGGGCACAGGAATGTTAAAATCATTACAAAGAACATGTGGAAAAAAATATGGGCAAGATGTAGTAGAACAAGTTTAAAAAGAAATTATATCGTTGGGTGATTTTTTTTTAATACTCAATAAAAATGCTATTGATATTCTTAACGTAGTTGCTGTTTTGTTTTGAAGTATTCATTCTTGTCATCTTTTGTGTTTTAAGATATGATTTCATTACAGGTTTATCAATATTATTTGTCAAGTTGTTTTTTAGTTAGGATAGCAATTTTAATAATACAACAGTATTTCAGTTCAGTATACATTAATTTGAAATGTAAATATACATATGTTCTTTTCCACATATTATCCAAAGGCTGCAAGTTTGGAGTGGAAGAATAAGGACAATCAGGATACTGGTTTTAGATTTCTTTTTACATTGTTTCGAAAGTATTATCTTCCTCATTTATTTCCATCGTTTACTAAGTTAACAAACATCTACAAACCTGTACTTGGTAAGTACTAATTGAGCTGCGTATCGAGGACATCCACAGGGAAGCTGCACAGTGGCTTTCAAAGTGGCCTTTGATTATTTTTAAGTAAAATAGTTATTTTGTTCTTATATTTAATGGTGACTTTATTATAAGAGGTTGAAAGTTTCCTAATAAATGATTTTAACTGTACAAACTAAGATGTACTTCAGCTCACAGCAATAAAGGAGAACTGTGATTCCTATACTGAGAAATAATTTGAAATGAATTGTGATTTTGGGGGGGTAATTTCAAATCTTTTAATGTAAAAAAAGCTCACGTTTCTTGAAGTCTTCTCTTATTGGGGGTGGGATGTGTCGACTGCAGACCTTGCTCAGTGCCTGGGCACGCCAACCCAAGCCACACAGCTGCCTACACTATGCCCAGTCGGGACCACTTATAACTGCTTATGGAGGGGCAGATGCTTGGGCAGTTGGGCAGCCTAGGGACAGTAAGCCCCAGAGGGGAAGGAAATATAAGGGAATTTCTGATTTAGCATTCCTTCTGTAAGAAACGAGGACTCACAGGCCAGAATCATCCCTTAGAGGGGTGGTAGTGGAACAAATCTTTCTGTGCCTATTATTTTAAAGCAAGTGAAATTAGTTAAAATGAATAATTAAGAACAATTTTGGAGGGGAAAGGATCACAACTGACATTAATCCATCTGGGGAATATGGGCAACTAATTCAGTTGCCTGTGGGTGTTTATTTGTACACACACACACACACACACACACACACACACACACGGGCAAGGGGGAAACAACTTAAGCTTTTGCATTTTGAAAGATGTAGAAGAAGCTCTGACTTTAAGGGTACTGGGATATGCATTTTATTGGCCCTGTATGTGGGTATTATTTTCAGTTTTGTTTCTGATTTTGTAAGTACTCTGTATTCATTGTAAAAAACAGTATATTGTTAATATTTCAAGATTAAAAGTTATTTGCTAAGAATTTGTCTGCCTCATGCATGCATACATGCATGTACCACCAGGTGTACAAAAATTAGTAAAGAGTTGTACCTATAGCAAGTATTGGGTCATTGGAAAAGTCATGACGTATTTTTCTGTTTTTCAATGCAAAAATGCATCATGACTTTACTGACGACCCAATAGTATCTCAAATCTAATACCATATAATTTTCCTTTTGATTATGGAATTTAAAGAATGGACCTCTTATTAATTCTTTGGAAATGGTGGTGTCTGATACCTCAAAGATGAAACATGACTCTGAATTCTTTCAGATATGAAGTTGATTATACTGATTCACCTAAAGGGAAAAGGATAGAAAACTAAAGTTTAGTTGATTTGATTAGTGTAGTATTGGTTGTTAAAATACCTTAAATGATGAAAAAAATGTCTGCAAATGGTTTTACATTTGTTCCGATCATAAAATAGGATTAAAGTAGTTAAAATGTATGTGAAAAGATTTTTACTATTATAATTTCATGTAATTTCTGAAATTTGTTAAAAAGAGTTATTAGCATAGTTTTTCCACATCTGTATATAACAGCTGTAAGTAAACAGTAACAATCACTAACACCTTGCCTTGCTCAGGTTGCAAGGCAGAATCAGGAACAATCCTACCAAAAGATGACAGTTTTAATTATCTCTGAATCTTTAATCATAGTTACTATCCAGACAGCCAAATATAGTTATGTCTGTTTTGCTTGGAAACTGAAACATTTGTAGGGGTTACATAATGACAGGATTCACTAACCTAATCATGTATTCTTTTTTCTTCCAGACATCCCCCATTTAAGACCAAAGCCAGTGTACATTACTACAACTCGAGACAATGAAAATATTTACAGTACAAAAATTCCATACATAGCAGCTCGTGTTGTTTTTATTAAGTGGATTGTAACTTTCTTTTTGGAAAAGAAGTATCTACCTACAACACAAAACACTAAAAATGGAGTCGATGTATTGCCTAAAATCATGCAGGTATGTCATTCATCATCTGTTTATCTCTCCATACTTATGTAATAACACACACTAACACATACCAAAATATTTTATTATTAAGGTTATTGGTTCTCACAGGTCGTTGGTTACAAGGACTTGATTTTATTGGCCTACTCTGCTGTAATGCTGAGGTTTCAGAATAACCTGCGAATTAGAAGCACTTATTGTGCTCTGTTGGTATTGCCATGACGAGGCAGTCTTGGGGGCAAGGGAAGCATTCTGAGATAATGGCTGTTGTGTGCACCCTCCTGGCTTCCTCTCGTTTTCCCTCCTTTACTCTGGTACCAGTGACCTTTGAACATAAGACCAGGGCCTGTTGTGCTTTCACCAATCCCAAGCACTTGCAAGGCCCTCAGGAATTGTGCAGGGGGTCATGGAGCGGACCTGTGAGACTGCCAAGTGCTCTCTGGGAACTCAGGGGAAGGGATGGATCAGCAGCTTGGGATGGTTGTTGAGCCATGAGGGGGTCCCTGGAAGAGAAGGCTGCCTTTTCCCGAGGCCTTAGATGAAGACCTCTTCTTGTATGGGGCCTTCTGTTCCTTGCTAGCCTTGGTCAGATGCAAATGGGGGCTTTCCCAGCTGGCTGAGTTGCTTAGGGACTTTATGCTCGGTAGAGCGGGACCACTCATGGAAATCAAAGAGCAGTCACTTCACAGAAGGGTCGTGGTTTTGTTCGATTTTTTTTTTGTTCTCAAGAGCAAGGACAGGAAGTGTGATCCACTTAGTGCAGGTTTGCTGATGCTCTGGAGTTCTCAGTGGTGTGACCTAGGCCTGAGTTGGGAAAGTGCACACACCTATAATTAGCACCTTGATGGAGGAGCACCAAACTGAAGTCCAGAGCATGTGGCCCCTTTGACAAGAACTGACTAAAGATCTGGAGGAACTTATTTTCAAAGAAGTCTGAGGGAGATACAGCTACAATAAGAACAGCAAAAGACTTGCTGAAAGAAAAGTTTTAAAAAACCTTAAATATCTTAATATAAAAACTTAATAGATAAACCGAAAATGGTAATGATCACTGCTGATAACAGAATTGGTTTTCTGAAGAAATATCCCACAACACTCAGCAAAAATTTAAAGAGATGGAAATTAGAAATTAATAAATAACACCTGAGGGCTGATCCAGACCTACCTTGCAAATATTGTGAGGACAGGAGAAAAGAATAAGGAGTAGTAATTAAACTAATAAAAAGAACAGTTTACCTGAGCTGAAAAGAAGTCATGCCTTAGACCGAAAGGCTTTTGAGTCCCAGGAAGAATTAGCTAAAAAGACAGAAACCTAAACAGACATTAGACTTTCAGAGATTAACAAAAAAACTATACAGACTTCCAGATAGGAATCAGAGTTTCCTTCAAAGGGATGAGACAGACGAGCATTGACTATCTAATCTAACCTACAACCCTGAAGCTGAAAGAACCTAGCTGTCTGTCTGTCTCCCTTTCTCAGAACCTTGCTTCATATCACATACTCATACATAAACAAATGTCAGATTGATTCACGGTCTAAATTGATTTAAGGTCTAACTATAAAAACAAAATGATAAAGAACTTGGGAGCAAATCTGGGGGAATGTATAAATTTGGCAAATGGTAGACTGTCTTAAGTAGCAATAAGACCCACAAGCCATAAAGAAAAGGAGGTTAGACTTGAAAAAATAGGAAAAGATTTATGTGTCAAAAGATAGCATAAGGGCCGGCTGAGTGGCTCAGTTGGTTAAGAGCTCGCTCAAGAGTTTGAGCTCTGAGCAACAGCGGTTCGAGTCAGCCCGAGCTGAGCAGCTGTGAGCTGCCAACAGGTGGCGGGATGGCTCAGCTAAAAAAAAAAAAAAAAAAAAAAAGATAGCATAAAGCCACACTCAAGCAACAGACTGAAAAGCATTTGAAACATCATGGCTGTTAATAGAGCTCATATCTCTACTATATGTAGAGTGCCTACAAATTGATAAGACAGGCCCAACTGAAAAATGGACAAAGGCAATGAAAGGGAAGTTCACAGAAAAGGGAATAAAAATGGCCCGGATTTCACCAGCAGTCAGGGAAACACAGTTCATTCTGAGCCAGACTAGAGACCTTTATTCACCAATCAGGTAAACAAAAACTAAAAATCATCAGCTAGACCAAAATTTGTATGAAATTACATATAAGAAAATCACACTCTGATAAATTTTACATTGCATCTGTGTGGGTTTTAGGTTAATTCAAAACAGTCTGTTTAGAGTATTTAACTTTTTCCTACCTGGTTTCAAATTTTTGAAAAACCATTACCTGTATTTATTGAAAATAAATTTCTCACATGGATGATGAGAAGTAGCAAGAATAGCAAATTAACCACTGCTTCAAGGTTCTAATTTTTTTTTCACTTGTTGACTCTTCACACTTTTGAGTGACCTACTTTTATTACCTAGCTTTTTTAGTGTCATAAGGGTCCGAGCAACTCAATCAATTAGGATGGTTCTATCCTAAAACAAGAAAGACACCAGAACTCAAACTGAGTTAAACGTAACAAGAAAAATTTTAATCTTATAAATAAAGAAACATAGGGAGGCTGGCTGACAATAAGGTTCACTCATTCTCTCTCTATGATGCTCTGCAGTTTTCTCTTTTCTCTTCTGCCCTTTTCCCTCTGGCAGGTTTGGTATCAGCTACTCTAATGAATGTAAGATGGGACGCTGCATAACTTGTTTGTGTTCAGAGACATCCCAGAAATACAAAGCCCTTCCCTTTTGTCTGAGTGGAACAACTTAGGTTACTTGCCCACTCCTAAAACCATAACAACGCATTGATTGGCTTAAAGCTTGTGCTGTGGCTCAGGAGGGAGGGGGCATGATGACTTCCATGATACAGAACACTCCCCTGGTACTGTGGATAGGGTCTTCTTCCTGTTAGTCAAATGGGCTTCATTTGAGGAGGCAGGCAGAGCACTGGTGTTCTGTCAGAGAGGGGGAATGGATGCTGGGCAGACAACCACCTGTGCCCAGTGCTAACATACCCTGCAGATAGCTGCGCTTAGAAATGGTCACTGCCACTGTAGACTGTTAATACACCTCATAGTGTAAGTAGTTATATTAGTTTCCTATTGTCACTGTAGCAAATTACCACAAACTTAGTGGCCTGAAACAACACAGATTGATTATCTTGCTGTTCTGGAAGTCAGAGTCTAAAATCGGTCTCTGTGGGGTAAAATAAAGGTATTGGCCGGCCTGTATTCCTTTTGGAGGCTCTAGAACAGAATCCATTTTCTTGCCTTGTCCAGTTTCTAGAGGCTGCCTGCATGTTTTAGCTCATGACCCCTCGTCACATCACCTTTTCTCCCTCTGTTTCCGTCTTCACATTGCCTTGTCTGTGTCTCGTCTTCCTGCCTTCTTATGGATCCTTGTGATTACAAGGTGTGATTGAAAAATACGGTGAATATTTAAATAAAATTTATTACAGTAAAAGACACATTGCCATTAATCCCCCTCAAAAATTCCCCCTTGCTTTGAACATACTTATCCCATTGTTCTTGCACTTTCTGAAGCAGTTCTGGACGTCCTCTTTCAGAAGTGTCTTTACTTCATCCTCAATCATGACAACACTCTGTGTCACACATCGCATCTGGTATACGGCAATTTCTGTCAAATAAAAACATTACGGTGTGTCCTCATCCACCTTATTCGTCGGACCTTGCACTGTGTGACTTCTCGCTGTTCCCCAAAGTTAAAATGGCCATGAAAGGAAACCTTTTGAATCGATTCAAGGACATCGAAGCAGCCACGACAGCGCAACTAAAGACACTCACAAAAGGACTTCCAGAACTGCTTTAGAAAGTGGCAAGGACTATGGGATAAAGTGTGTTCGAAGTAAGGGGGAGTATTTTGAGGGAGATTAATGGCAATGTCTTTTACTGTAAAAATTTTTTTATTTTTATTTAAACATTCACCATAATTTTTTATCCTACCTTGTACACTGGGACTACCCAGATAATCCAGGATAATCTCATTGCAGCATTTTTTATTTAACCACATCTGCTGAATCCCTTTTTCCATATAAGGTAACATTCAAAGGTGCCAGGCATTAGGGCATGGACATCTTTGGGGTGTCTTTATTCAGCTGACCAGTTGTCTCCTGTCTTCCCTTCTCTAACTTACAGCTGTGGCCCCACCTCATCTCACATGTGTGTGTTCCACTCTTTATTTACATTGTACATTAGAAAAAGCAGCAATGTAAACAATCAAATATTAAATTTTGGAAATGGAGTTGCAGGAATAAAAGTGCATGTAATTGCATTTGTCTCCTGAAAGTTTTTGTTTTGAATTTCAAATTTAATATAATTTTACCCCTGTAAAGTGAACATCACTAAGTCAGATGACCCAAAGAATATACTGGTCTTATAAAAGCCATTTAAAACAATATTTTAAGTGCCACTTCCAAATAGAGTTCATACTTTGGCCACTATTACTGTGTCAAAGATCATATATGAGTTTTTTGTGTTTTTTTCCAAAGTGAATTTACTCCCTCTTGATCTAGAACTGATACCTTTGACAGTATTTTTCACCAGGAAGGAAAGGAATTAGTGCATTGTCTAGGCTTAGCTTAGTTACCACTTGGAGAATCTGGTTTAACAGATTTTCTTGTTCAGTGGCGTCATTCATGGGAGAACAGAAGTACATCCCATAGTATGTTGGCAACAACAACAAATCCCCCCTTTCAAATCTGAACAATCTTTGTTCATCATTTCAGCTGAAAATGTTTTCAGTGAAGAATTATTTATTCCTTAGTAATTCATTTTTGTAAGAAATAGAAGTACTTTAACATGTGTTAGAGAAAGCACAGTGGTGATTTTAAAATTTCAGCAGTGACTATTCTCTTTACCAGTTTTATATGCACATTAATTAAACATTAAAACCCAAAGCAGTCCATTAGGGAATGAAAAAGAAAGTTTGAGGTCACATTTATTTTTATGATAGTTCTTAATTACATTATTAAAAGAACCACTACTTTTACTAATTCTGGATCAGCCCTTCAGTTATGATTCATGGGCTTTGGGTTTCCTGAAATTTTTGTATTTCATGTGATGGAAAGCTAGAAAAAGTGAATCACACAAGTTGACAACCCTACAAGAGTTAGTATTTTGTACAAACTCATTTGTTGACTACCACTCTAGTACTGTCTGTGTTCTTAAGCTCTCAAAGCAGACTGGCTGCCCCCAACCATGCAGGTGAATCATTACGGGAATTGAGTGGCATCAGGCATCACCAACAAAATAGCAGTTTCATCCTCTTGTTTCACACCTGCTTTGTGGGTGTCCTCATTGAGCCTGATGCTGAAGGTGAACAAGTCTCAGTATGAGCTGTGGTTTGAGAGGAAACCAGGGTGGTAGGGAGAATTGAGAGGAAGGATTAAGTGATAGCCTACATCATGCGATTTCCTGAGCCCTGGAAATGCAGGCCTGGTCCAAGCAGATACGTACATATGTGTATTTCACTCACTAAGGCTTCACAGCATGCCAAAGAGGTAAGAATCATCCTTGCTTTTACCTCCGAGTTAACGAATACTAAATTATAGTTGAGAATTCCAGCTTGAATGTTGTGGGCAGAAAATGGACCTCTTTCTGTGGTTAATTTTTATTCATGCTCTCACTGTTAATCTTCATAAAAAAGACAAGAAATGACTAGACTTGGATTATTAGTTTGTTTTCACTCTCTCATCACTATAATTATAAATGTCAAAGCATACATATATTTTTGGAAAGCAGCCTATTGTGGAGGGAGTGTGGAGTAGAGGCAGCTAATAAAAGCATTGTTTTATCAGGAGAAGTACATATTTTCCCTCCGTTTGGGAATATGTACATGCAGAGCATCAACTTAAGTTATGTGCAGATTTTCAACTCCATGGTGGGTCAGCACCCCAAACCCTCACGCTGTTCAAGGGCAACTGTAATTTTCAATTTATGGCATGATGGGAAATCCATCTGTGCTACCGTTATGTTCTATTTGGCTAACAGAGCTTATTTTTTAAATAACTGCATGCCTTTAAACATAATTCTTTATGTACATTATTTTAGTTATCTAATTGCTGTGTTATCTAATTAGTTATCTAATGACCTCAAATCTTGGTGGCTTAAAACAACAGCCCTTTTATCATACTACATATTTCAGTTTTTGGGTCAGGGATTTGGGCAGGATTTGGTTGGGCAGTTCTTATGCTTCATGTGGTATTAACTGAGGTTAATGGATGGTATTCTTCAGCTGGCGGCTGTTTGGTCTGGAAGGTCCAAGGTAACTTCATTTATATGCCTGTTACTTTGGTGGGTGCAGTTGGAAGGCTGGACTCAGCTGGGCCTCTCTTTCTATATAGTGTCTGTTTAAGTAGTTGGACTTCTTTCTTGTTTGCTCAGGGCTCCAAGTGCAAATGTTTCAAGAGATGGGAAGTAGTGACTGTCAGCCTCTTGGGCCTGGGCCTGAAATTGGCACAGGTGTCTTCCACTGTATTCTGCTGATTAACACAGTCATGTAGTTCACATGAACTAAAGGGGGGGGGGCATAGACTTTACCTCTATAGAAGGCGTGTCAAAGAATTTGTGATCATTTAAAATTTGCTGCATATGTGTATACATATATGGTTTTTCTTTCCTTTTTTGGTCTGTGGGGAAAATGGGAGTTTTTGATAAAAAAGTCACAGGTTATTGAGCTGCAAGAGACATTAGACTTAATCCAACCTCCATGTTTTACAGATTAAAATAAAATATAGCAATAAAAATGAGTGAAACTTAGTTTTTCTATGGAAGGTAGTTGATCCATCAAATAGATGAACTAATTAATATAGGGTAGCTCATCTCACAGTGTGACAGTACCTTTGATAAGCCACATAGGCTTAATAGCTAAGGCATGAAGAGAAAAATTATTATAAGTATAATCGTCCATTAATTTTCCCTAGAGATTACTATTTCGATACCAACTTTACTTTCAAACTCTCCTTGGTAGTTACTAAAATTATTATTTTGTACTACTTATATATTATCACTTCTTGTAAAAAATATTCACAGTGGTATTTGGGGTTATATATTTTGGCACTTAAAAGAATAATAGTAGAATTTATAAGATGAAGTGAAATTATACATATGTTTATAGGAAACATTTAATTCTCTGGGGAAATGAGAGCAGAAACCACTGTTAAACTTTGTGACTCATTGCATGAATTATTTTATTTCTTTGTGCTCTTAAAGTCTTCTAAATATTTAAAGTTTTATAAATATTTCAGTTAAGTTTGCTCTGAGATTCTGAATATAAAACTCAGATGAAGGTTCTGATACCATTTTAAAACCTTGGCACTCCGCCATCAAGGTGTCACTTAGCCTTACGAATCAAATGATGCTTTTCAACATTGTGCCTTGAAAATATCCACAAATTTTCAAATCTCTGTAACTATAGAGTAAGTACTGAAATACAGAGATCAAAGGTGATGATAATATAAATTCATGTGTCAATTTATTCTGTGATTTTTACAAATATAAATAAACTTTTTAGGTTGATAAAGTTTGACAGCCTCTCTTCCTGTAATAATTCAGTGGTTTTTCTGAGTTGGGGAGGGGTTAGTTGAATTGGGCAGTTGGTAAGTAAAAGTTCTGAAGCCCTCTTGTGCTTCAAGCTTGCCATCAAGTTGGTGATAACCAGACTTCTTTAAAATAAAGCAAGTCTTCAGTTTTGCTGGGTGTCCTTGAGTGTCAAAAATGATCACTCATAAGTGGTAATGACTTTCTTCTAGACTGTTGGTGGTGGTGCATCGCAAGAGAGGGCGCCGGAGCCGGAGGATGGTGGGCCCGTAGAGCCTGACAAAAACCATTCTAACAGCAGCACCTTGTCAGATCGGAGACTCAGCAACTCTAGCCTTTGTAGCATTGAAGAAGAGCACCGGACTGTCTATGAAATGGTGCAGCGGATCCTCTTGTCAACGCGAGGCTATGTCAATTTTGTGAATGAAGTATTTCGCCAGGTTAGTGTATGTGTGTTTGTTTTAAGTTCATGAAATTGAAGAGATTTTTGTTCTTGTTCTTTTACTCAATATTCTAAGAAATAGCTATTGATGAGTTGGGCTAAATTATAGGACTAAATAATGATCCCTGTAATTCCACTTTTAATTTGTCATGTGGAGTAGTGTGATTTTTTAAATTATGTTTTTGGAAAATTCCTATATGTGGAGAGAAAAGTTTATATTTGAGCAAAATCATCCCCAAGTACCTCATGTTTCTGTAACAAACTTTAAATCCAGAGGTAGGTGGAAAGAAAGCCATTTCTGCATATGTATTAACGAACATAGCGAAGAGGAGCCCAAGTCTGGTATCGTTCCCAGAGCCTTAGAAAGCTCTCTAAGGAGCTGGAGCTTTCTGCAAACAGTTGTACCTACCTTGCAAACGCCTATGGCATGTGTGTATGATAGAAGTATTGTGGCATAAGAGAAAAAAAGGATGAGGAGGGGAATGAAAAGAAAGGAAGGAGCTGAGGTTAAGACATTGAAATAACAGACCTGTGGTGGAAACTATGGTGGATGAAAAGGTGTTGGGAAGAGCAGAAGTGCAAACAAGAAAATGGTGCAAGCAAGGGAAGAGGACAGAAGAGATCAGAGGCTGGGGCAACGATTAGCATCCGAGAACAAAAACTGGGTATGATTCTGCACACACACCCCACCCCCCCAACCCCACTGTCCATTCAGCAATGTCTGGAGACAGTTTTGGTTCTTACAACTGGGGAAGAGGACAATGCTACTGGCATCTAATGAGTAGCAGCCAGGAATGTTATTAAATATCCTACAAGCACAGGATAGCTATCCCACCCCCACTCCACAAAGAAGAGTCCTGCCCAAAATGTCATTAGTGCTGCTGTGGAGAAACTCTGAGTTATAGCCATCTGACAGAGGAAATGCAACCCTCGATGTAGTTGAGCAGACAGCAACTCTGTAGTAGGGTGGAGCCATTGGGCCATGTGTGTCTTGGTACTGGTGCCCTGGAAGACAGAGAGGATGGCTTTTTTATGGGCATGTGTGTATGACTGGCAAATAGTTGTTTAGTCCATGAACTGGGTTGAAAGGTGAGGCCCTTGAATGGCAGAGACCAGTTTTGGTGAGGAGAAGAGGCAGATGCTATACACATATGAACGATGCATATGCACCATGAAGAGCTTTTTAGGGAGAGGCATAATTCACAACAATCTACAGGTTTTACTGTGTTTTGTATTATAATGAATAAAAAATGTTTACTTAAGAAAATGTTTGTTTAATCTATAATGAAAATTTCCGTTATGAAATATTTTTTCTGATTCCTTGGCCCACCACTGCCTTGGTTCTTCTTGCCCCTGATTGTGTCTTCTCTGTCTTATTTCTTGGCCCCTCTTTTTGTTTCACTCCAAATTATAAGAGTTGATCAATATTCTGGGCTTGAGCCTTTTCTTCTGTAACTCCACACTTGCTTCCTTGGGGCCTTCAACTGCTTATCCAGTGCCAGCAACCATTGTGGTATACGAGGTCTGACGATTAAGTGTGCGACCTTGTTGCAATGATGTTGCTAACCTTTTTTGTTATCAGAGGGATTATTCATTATGAATTTGTACCAACTGGACAAACAGTTAACCAAGTTTACTATTTTGAAGTGCTGAAAAGGCGGCATGAAAAAGTTAGACGACCTGAACTTTTCGCCAACAGTTTATGGCTCTTGCATCACAACAATGCACCAGCTCACATGGCTCTGTCTGTGAGGGAGTTTTTAGCAAGTAAGCAAAGAACTATATTGGAACAGCCTCCTCAACTCACCTGATCTGACCCCCAATGACTTTCTTTCTTTACCTGAAGAAAAAGGAAATATTGAAAGGAAGACATTTTGATGACATTCAGGACATCTAGGGTAATATGACAACAGCTCTGATGGCCATACCAGAAAAACAGTTCCAAAATTGCTTTGAAAGGTGGACAGACTAGGCACTGACACCAGTGCATAACTTCTCAAGGGGAGTACTTAGAAGGTGACCATAGTGATATTCAGCAATGAGGTATGTAGCACTTTTTCTAGGATGAGTTCGTGAATTTAATTGGCAAAACTCGTATGACTTCCAATCAAGCAAGCCTTTTATCCAGACCTTACATTTTAATTCCAGACTTGCCTTTTAGAATGCCTACTTGGGATCTCATGTGACCTTCCTGTGTTATATTCATGGTCACATTTTCTTCCCTAACGTCAACTTCTTCTGACTTGACTGCTCCTTTAAAGGGGCCTTCATTCATGTGTGCATATTAATTTTATCCCTCCTGGGCTCCTTGTCTTCTCCTATGAGCCATCACTTGCCAAGTCATGCAAGAAGCTGTCTCACTACTTTTTTCTCCTTTTCCTTTGACCATGGTTAACAGCATACTCCTTGGAGCCCCACACCTTCTGTATCATCCCTTTCTAATCTATAGTGTACACATTATGATGTCAAAACATTCTTTTATCGTACTAGTCCATGATTTAAAAATCAACCCTGTTCTCTCCATTAATGTTGCCATAATGAAGCTCCTGTTGTACTTTAATTTGAATTGAAATAGTCAAGGTCCTAGAGGACATATGATCGAGAGCAGAGGTCAGTATACTTTGTACAGCAAAGGGCCAAGTAGTGAATATTTTAAGCTTTGCTGATTACATGGACTCTGTTGCAGCTACTCAGCTCTGTATTTGTAGTTCGAAAGCAGCATAGGCAAGTATGTAACAAGCATGACAGTTTTCCCATAAAGCTTTATTTATAAAAATCAAGTGGCAGGTTGGATTTGGATTGTCAGAGTTTGCTGACTCCGATCTGTAATAGTATTTTAAACCCTTGGATACAAATGCTTAAAATAAGAGTAGAAATCATTTTGTAGATATTTGCTAAGAGAAACTTGCTAAATTGCTGTGGTTTACCTTCATTGTGTAATTGTTCATTTAGCATACACGTAGTTTGATCTGCATCTGTTATTGGCATTCCACCCCTGGTAGTGGTGTGCTCTAAATTCTAAAGTCAGTCTAAATCCTAAATCCAGTCTAAATTCAAGTTTGAAGTAGCTTGGGTCATATAGGAAACTGCAGACTATGACTGAAGTTAGGAGACTTCTTTGTGCCATGAAGCTCAAAAACATTTTATTTACCTTTCATAATTATTCTTAATCAAATCTAATTTGAAAACACATATATGAAATTTAAAATATGAGTATTATGCATTTTAAAAATACTGAAATAGACATTTGGGAAAAGGGGCATGGGTTTTAACACTGTTCTATTGCCCTCTCTTGGTCAATGATGAATTTTTCTTTTATGGAAGACAAAATGTCTTCTTTCATAATAATTTCTTTTTCAATTTTAAGTTAAATCTTAAAATGTGCATTCAAAAAGTACACATTGTGGGGCCGGCCGAGTGGTGCGTTGGTTAAGAGCTGGCTTGGGACGCCAGAGGGCCCCGGTTCGGATCCCGCATATGAGGGCCAGTGACACTGCCCTCTACAGCTAAGATGCTGAACAACAGCTCAACCTGGAGCTGGGCTGCCGTGGGTCGCCAGCGCTGGCGTAGGCTGCAGCCCCTGTGGCAGTGGGTTGCCATGGGCTACCGTGTGTAGCCAGCAGCCAGCGTGAGCGGCCAGCAGCCACTGTGAGCGACTGTCCAGAAGCCGGCGACTGATCTGCCTCACCCGGGAAGAGCGCAATGATGGTGCCAACTTGGGCCAGTGAAGCAACGTCCTCCACAACTAGACTGAAGAACAAAAGGATAGCAACTTGTCTGTTCCCCTTCCCCCAATTCCCCAGCACTGTTCCCATCCCCCAATTCCCCAATAAAAACCTTAAAAAAAAAAAAGTACACATTGTGGGGAGATAAAATGTGTGCGTATGTACCAGAGAACAGTGTGATGCAGAAGATCAGATGCCAGCGCGTGTGTCATGGGAAATAAATGCTGATGAGGGGCTACTGGGGGCAGGAGGCTCGCAGCAGGGGCTATTGGTGTAAATCACCTTGGACTAGATGGTTCAGTGAGTTAAAGGTAATGGAAATAGATGGTAACTGAAGGGGGATTAGGTTTGGCAAGGTTCAGGGCAGCCTCAGTTTACTGCTACTCTTAGCAGGTGGGATGACAGTGGTAAAGTGGCTTCAGGTAAGGTAAATCTAGTCTTGGGTTGTTCCATTGGAAATTTGTCTTCTAACTGGTGTTTTTCAGACTACCTGTTGTGACTATTCATAGGTCATTAAGTTAAATTAGTGGGTCAAAAAACAATATTTTTTAAAAAAATGATGAAATATAGTAAAATAGAACAGACCAAAACATTTCACAATGCATGTTGTAAGGATTAGTATTTTTTTGTATGAAACTTCTGATTTATTTATGTATGTACTGTATATACAAGTACATGTATCCTTCTGTAAAATGTCTTACTTAGGTTATGATCTCAGGTTCAAAGCATTGCTCTAAAGGGTGTTTGTTCATTAGGTTGTTTTGTTTGTTGTTGGTTTTGTTTTAAAGAACAGCTTTTTAATTAAAAGAAATGAATGTTCATTAAACACTCTGTGTGTGTGTGTGTGTGTGTGTATAAAATTATGAAGGAGAAAGCGAAAGCAAATCACTCAAAACACTACCATCTAAATAACCATATTAATGCTGGAAGAGCATCACTCTAGGTATTTCTATACGTGTGTAGCTCCTGGCCTGGCTAGTTAGATAGGCAGATAAGAGACCAGCAGAGAGGAGATGAGTAAGACAGGAAATAAACAAACAGAAAGCAGCCTGTCAGAGATTGACAGGAGGGCTTACAGATGAGTTCATAGATATAAACTGGCCGGCAGGCATAGAAGAATAGACAGATGGGTACAGAAAGGCCAGGTGGCAGAAATGGAAATAAGGTGCAGATGGATAGGTGGGTAGTTTTAGACAGACAGGTAGACATAAAATTTGCTAGTCAAGTATAGATGGACACATAGGCAGGTAGCCATGCACAGAGGCAGGAAAAG